GCTCTGGCCATGCTTACAGTCTTGAATGTCAGGTCCACCGGGATAGGTCTTCAGGGCTACCGCACCCGCTTTTATTTTTGTACTGATCTAAAGCTAAAGTGCATAAGTGAAGTAGACTCGGACCCGAGGCTGCAGCGTGCCTTGGCGACGTCCGAAGAAACGCCGATTCGCATTGCGCGGTGACAAACGTGTAGAGGTAAGACGGTAGATTAGGGAGGTAGACGGTAGATGGTAGATTCGTCTACCTGTTATCGCCTTACTACAGTTCCACAGTTGGTGATAGTAGCATTAATATGGGTGCTAGCGTAGTTGAGGGGGGGGGGGCACGCGGCGGCGCGGCGTCTGTTCGTCTGTGCTCTCCAAGGCTTAGTCCTGAGGGGCCACTGTATTTCGAAACTGCGTCGCGGCGGCGATGGAAACGGCCCCTCAGGACTAAGCCTTGGAGACGCCGCGCTGCCGCGTGGCCCCCCTCAACTACGCTAGCACCTTAATATGCCCTCAAAATTAATCGCTCTAGTAAAAGGAACCAAGTTTTGGCAGGGAAGTAGACTATACGACACGGTAGTGATACGTGGTGTGAAATTGACTATCAAGACTAGCAACTTCCCTTTCCCCAAGCCTGATATTCCTTTTCAGCAACGCCTCACTGGGCCACGTCGTGCACGGAGAAAAGTAAGCTCTTCTATTTGTCACGTGTTGTATGGACCTTGTGTTCCTTAGCATTGCGACAAAGTAGGTGGTAATCGAGTCACTGATTGACTCGAAAAATTAAGAAAACCCTCAACGCGAGAAATTCACTTCTTTCGATGTGTTACTTATCTGCATAAGTCGCGTGCTCTAATATATACAATGGCAAATTTTGGAATAGGAATAAAATGTAGGTGAATATTGTCTTCATGATTGCACTCTCCAATTTCCTTTGCTTTTACGTTTCTTGTACGGGTTTTCGCACGCTCAGATGTTGTCCGAAATCAGGAGTGCAGTTTGGGGTTCCTTTATCGAAAGTGTCGTCTACCAACCCGTCTTTGTCCATTCATCATGTGCACGAAGTTGCTATGCATTAAGTTGTTGGGAAATGGGGAAGCGAAAAATAATTTTTACGCGAAGCACTTTCGACTCCCGCCGACACGCTATGGTGGCTACT